CGCCACGCCCCACCCCAGGCTTACCTTCTGCCACAGCGACTCTCGGGAGGCCAGCGATGAACAGGCTGCCACAAACCAGCAGTTGCCCACCTGGCCCTGGTGCAGGTCGTGGGAGCTGATGCCGTCCACAAAGAGGCGGGGGTCCTCGCAGATGTCCTGCCGGGAAGCCAGAGGAGGCCTCAGTGTGAGTGTAAGATTCGCCCTCTGTCTCCCCCTGCAGGCTGGGCCCCCTGCATGGCCAGTGGGTTTCCCCAAACCAGCTCCCCACATGCTCCCTGGAAGGCCCTCTCCTCCCCCTGGTTGGAGAACTCTGTTCGCTGCCAAAGGCTCCACAATGAATGGACACTGTGGAAGGACTTCGGGGGGCTGGACCCGGGGCCACCACCTTCCTCCTGCCCTGTGTCTTCCCTGACCAGCACCGCAGCCTTCACAGGCCCACAGTCATGAAGCCGGGTGAGGGCACAGGGGGGAACACACCAAACGTACATGTGATGAGTGCAGAGGGCGGGAGAAGCGAGGAGCAACGTGACGCACCATGCCCCTGTGGGCATACCCTCAGGCTATTTATCTGACCCTCACTCTGCCTCAGAAGTGTGACACTGTCATTCCATTTTATAGATGAGGAATGAAGGCTCAGAGAGGGGCAGTGACTTGTCAAGGGCACACAGCAAGCAAAGGCCAAACAGAGCTGAGCAGACACCCACAGAGCTCCCAGAGTGCCCACCTCAGGCCCATCCCCCTCACCCATCAGCATCCTCACCCCCACAGGGCTTAAAGGGAGTGCATGCTCCCCAAGGAGGGCTGGCTACAGTGGGGGGGGGGGGGGGGGGGAGAAGGAGGTAAACACTAAGACATACTTCCCCTGCGCCAGGCATCCTGCTGGTACTATAATCAGTCCTCCCCATGATCCTTAGAGGTGGGGAATGTGCTCATTTTACAGATGAGCAAACTGAGGCCCAGAGAAATGGAACAATGCCCACCACACAGCATGGGCCTGCCTCCACTTCAGCGGGTGAACGCTGGAGCTAGTTCAACCACAATAGAGCTCCTGAGGTCCTACCAAAAGCAGCCAGCAGAGGGTTCCAGAGTCAGGAAGTCAGAATTCAAGTTCTTGCTCCCCACTTATTTACCATTGGCTGTGCAACTTTAGGCCAGTGGCTCAACCTCTCTGAGCCCCTGTTTCCTGTCCTGTGCAAAGGAGGTAAGGGAACATGGGCAAAGGGCTATCCCTTCCCACTAAGGTGTCGGGGAGCCCTGTAGCCACCTCTGCCTGGGGAAGGGTGGTGCTTTGCGGGCCAGATCGAGGGCCATAACTCCTCTGAGGATATGAGCGGCTCCAGATATGACCTCAGAGTGACCAGTTCAGGGACCAGCCACAAGGCGGCTTTCCCAGAGCACAGACTGCAGGAAAGCTGCCCCAGGTCGTAGGAACCAGTGAGGCAGCCATCAGAAGTCTCACCTCCCTTCCTGCTGCCTCCTTACCTCCCAGGCCGCGCTCTGAGCCCTGCTCCCTGGGGTCCAGAAGGACCAGCAGGACAGGGGTTGGGAGGGCTTCCTATCTGGATGACCGCAGCCACAGCCCACCCGGGGAGAGACAACTGCAGCCTGGCGTCTCCAGGGCTGCAGCAGAGGTGACTTCCCAAGCGCTCCTTCCCGTCAGATCCTCCCAGCCAGTGCCCTGGACAAAGACATGACTGCCCATTCCACAGAGGAGGACACTGAGGCCCAGGAGACGATGATGCTCAAGTCACGAGCCAAGTAAGTGGACCAATGGGACAGAACCTCGGTCTGCTGGGCTCCCCACCCAGCACTCTCCTCCCCACAGAGCAACAAAGCCTGGTCCTGTCACCCCAGAACAGGGCTCTGGCTCCAGACTTTCCTGGGGGGGGGGGGGGGGGGGCAAGAGAGAGAGAGAGAGAGAGAGAGGGAGAAAGACAGACTGAGCTCAGGAGTCAGGAGGCCTGGGTTCCAGGCCCAGCATTGCCCTGACTCGCTGTAGCAGAAAATGGGTCTGATGCAAATCCACAGCCTGGGAGGGAGCAGAGAGGAGGCGGAGGTCTGGGAGTGTTCCCACTGCTGGGAGAGTTCGGGTTCGCCAGCTCTAACCTAGAGAAACCACTTGAGGGGAGGCAGCACCTGGGTCCCAGAGGCCATCTCGGGCATCCTGAATGGAATAGTCACAGGAAGTGCTCACAATGACTGGGAACCTGCTCAAAACAACCCAGCCAGAGGGGTACTGTTAGCATCCCCACTTCACAGACGAGGAAACCAAGGCACAGAGAGGTTAAGTCACTTGCTCAGAGCCACACAGGAAGAGGTGAACTGAGATTCCAACTCAGGCAGTCAGCTCCAGAGCCTGCCGGCGGGCTAGGGTTTATGACTGACAGCACCACCCTCCCTTCACTGTTACCCGCACACACCCTAAGCCTCGTTTAGGGGTGTCACTATGTGACAGTGAGACCAAGGGGTCAGGGCAGCCCAGACCCTCCCCCTCACCACCACAGGGCCGGGCTTCCCAAGGCCCGTGTTTCTCCTTCCACCTGTCCTGGGCCATCAACTGGGCACAGACACAGAGCTGGACAGGGAGGCTCCCAGGCCACAGGCAGGGCCCTTGACGAGGAGAAATCCGACTAACACCCTCCACGTGAGCACAGCCGTGACAGCCGAGCAGAGAGCTCAGAGGAGGCTGCCTGGAGGTGGCAACCCCCACAGAGCAGGCACGGAAAGCGCTGGTGGGCAGGGAGGCTCTGGGGGGGAATGAGGATTCCAAATCCCCCCAAACACAATTGTGCCACAGCCTCCAGACCGCCCCCACCTTTGCCCCCATCCTCCCCCAGGCTCCCGGCCACCTGTGCTCCCTTCCCTCTCTTGGGGCTCAGCAGCAGCCCTGGAGGGAAGGCGTGCAGGACTGGACCGGACAGGCACCTGTGCGAGCCCTGGGCTAGCCGGGCTCCGTCTGGGGCACCGCCTGCTGCACCTGCGGTTCCCTCTCAGCCCCGCCCAGGACGTCAGACCAGTTCCACCAACACAGGTCACTGCCCATAACCACCTCCCTCAGCGGCGCAGCAAGAACTTCCGGCTTCCAGGCCCGGCGTGCCCACAGGAATGCAGCAGGCAGCGGGCCCAGGGCACCTCCCCTCCCCTCCTTTCCCTTCCCCTCTACATGCATTCACCTCCATTCCCCTCCACATGCCTTCACCCCCCTTCCCCTCCACATGCATTCACCCCCCTCGCCCGGCCGCCAGGCCCGGCGTGCCCACAGGAATGCAGCAGGCAGCGGGCCCAGGGCCCCTCCCCTCCCCTCCTTTCCCTTCCCCTCTACATGCATTCACCTCCATTCCCCTCCACATGCCTTCACCCCCCTTCCCCTCC